TTGTTAGCCGCTCTGAGCCCGGCTTCGGCTGGGGAGGGCGGGATATAAATAATGATGATGATGATGATGATGATGATGATGATGATGATGTGCTGTGACTTGTAGGTCAACGTACTACATGCTTTGATCCAACATGCTACTGTGCGAGCCCCAGCCTTTTTCCTCATGGGGGTGGGATAAAATGAAGCAAATGGGCTGTGTGTTTAATACAATCATTTTGACAGAATGATTCTGCTTTCTTCTTTAAGATTTTGCTAAATATTATGCCTGCTGTCCCTGTCCCCCCCCCCCAATTGGGATGCTAAGCTGGTTTATTCCTCATGGTCTAAATCTTCTAGCCAGCTAAGACTGGGAGTTGTGGGGCAAGATTGAATGGCCTCTGAGGTGGCAGGCTGTATCACAGGGTTCACGTGCTTCACGGATGAAGCTTTCTGAGTGATGTTGGAAACACCTGACTTATATTTCCCTTTGTACCCTTTTGCAGACTTGCGGTGCTCTGGTTGACAGAGCTGGTTGGTTGCCTTTGTTCCTGTCTGTCAGGGCCCTTGCAACAGAAAGAATGGGCAATGTAAGGACATGGGGGGAAAACAATGGAAATATTTGCCTTTTCTTTATCTGGAAAACAGAAGGATGAATGGAAACAAGAAATACTAAGAGAAGGCAGGCAGGCAGGCAGAAAACCTAAGCACATTGCAGAATGAAGCAGGTTAGGAGAACATCTCTGCAAAGGGCGAAGGCAGAAAGTAAAAGTGAAGAGGAAGACAGAAGGAGGAAGCCTAGGAAAATTAAAATCACAGCTTTCCCATTCATGCCTTGGGCAGTGAGCTGATGGGTGCTCTAAATCAGTGTTTCCCAAACGTTTTTGGGCAACGGCACACCTGTTTACCGGAAAAAAATCTCGCGGCACACCACCATTAAAGCCCCGCCCCGTGACGTCAGCGCGCAGCGTCACGCTGGGAGGGACGCACAAAAGTCAAAGTTTTTTCCCTCCCCGCGAAGCAATGAAAGAGGGCGCCTCAACACCGGGAGGTGGGCAGGGAGCGGGGGGAGCGGCCAGACGGGCTCCGCTGGGGGACTTTCGGCTGCCGGAGGCGGGGAAGGGGCGGCTGCAGCGGACCCGGAAGTGGTTGCGCCCATCGGGGGCGGTGGGAGCGCGCCGTGCGGGTTGGTGGGTGGGGGAAGGAGAGGAAGAGGAGGGGGCGGCGGCGGCGGCCGGAGGCTGGACGGATCCGCGCAGGGACGGCGCGCGAGCCGGGAGGAGGCGCGAAGAAGGAGGCAAGGCGAGAGCAGCGCGGCTCGGGATGCATTCGGACTGCCGGCTGCTGCGCCCGAGACGCGGGGTATGGTGAGCAGCCCGGAGCGCCCGCTCCCCCGGGGGACCCGGCCGGCGCTGGCCTCCCTCCTCCTCCTCCTGTTGCTGCTCAGGCGGGACGCGGCGGCGCAGAAAGGTGCGTGCGGGAGCCCCGCCGGGAGGGGAGGGACCAGAGCCTTCCCGCCTTTCTTGCTTGGCGCCCACCCAAAAGCCCGCCGGGTTTTCGCGCCTTCCTCCAGTAGGCCGGCCGAAGCGAGCGGCGATGGGATGTGGGAGCTCGCTCGCTCGCCGCCCCGCGTGTGCTCGCCGCCGCCGCCCCGCCTCTCGCCGCCCGACTCGCCCGCCTCCCTCCCACGGCACACCAGCCGGTGTCTCACGGCACACTAGTGTGCCGCGGAACACCGGTTGGGAAACACTGCTCTAAATCACCCTCATCTATCTTCTTTTCCCTACCATACGTATTACTACTCCTGTCCAACAGGGAGGATGGGAAGCAGAGCAGTTTTTCGGCATGAAGCACCTCAAGGCTGCTGACTTCTTCCCTGCCTGTGGAAGAACAACTTACTACTTCTTGCCTTGTTTTCCTTCCATTAATAATGTACCATATTTCCCAGGTGCTTGATCAAGATTAAGGGGAGAGGGGAGAGGAGAATGAAAGCAAAGGAAGCAAACTGGAGCTCTGACCAGAAAGCAGAGGACAGGACAAACCACAGACGTTTAGCCAATCTTGTGCTGCTATCTGGAAGTGAAAAAAAATGCCCTTCAGCCACCTATAGAAGAATGCCTCTTTTCCTCTCTTCAGCTTCAGCGACGATTTTAGCTTATTGAAACTTACAATCTTTAACAAAGTGTCTGAATAGTGCTATAAAGAAGCTTTTTCCAATGTGGTGCCCTTCAAATGTTTTGGAGTACAACTCCCATTAGCCCTAGCCAACATGGTAAACCAGTGGTTCCCAATTAACTAATTATTGCAGACCACCCGCCGCCTTATTTTTCAAAAGCCAAAACATGGACACCCCCCCACTTTTGAAAATTTTGATTACTCTATGGTAGTTACCTGTGCAAAGCAATTTTTTGATAAAATGTGGGGTAGCCCCTAATAAGCAAAGGGTTTTAGGTATAAAATCTGTGAAATAACCACAAATTGCCTATCCCCAGACAGTAGGAAAAACTTGTCTCCATTGTTCCACTACAACTGAATTTTAAAAAGCAACTGTGTTCCTAACTTGCAAGTGTTCTATATGCAGAATCCTTTTTATATTCAAACATGCTATTTCTTACTTGTGATCTGATATGGTACATCTTAGCAAAACTTTGCATCATATGGTTCTGCTAACTGAGGGATCTTGCACCTTCAAGACATAGGTGAAGGCTTAGTCAGGGCTTGATAAAGTATTGGTGAAGACTGAGTAGAAAACAGCTGGAATTTTGTAATGTTGATAATAGTAATTTATTATTATTATTATTATTATTATTATTATTATTATTATTTACTGTTTAGTCCTCCTGTACCCAAGTTTCACCCCTGGCTTAAAGAGATTAATTAGTTAAATACAGTACTTATTTGGAGTGAGGTTTTTATTCTTGCTGATTACCCAATAGGAACAACCAACTTTTGAATTTTTTAGGATTCTACCGTACATCTGTTTCTTCCCACTCCAAAATGTAGCCACATAGCTTTCCACAGAAAAAGAACAAATGAACAAAAAACCCACACAGGCTACATTTTGCACCAAATAGGACTGGGTGATGTACTGATACATGGTCCAGGACCAGTATGAGGGACAGACTGCGATGACAGCTTCACTCGGCAGCATATCGCGAGTGAAACCACCACCGCACTTGACTCCCTCCAGCTGGTGCTGGTACCAGAGGGACCCAGGAGCAGCGGTGGTTTCACCAGCGATATACTGCCAAATGAAGGTGCCATCCCACTCTGCCCTCATACCAGCAGAGACAGAAACCAGCTGCATTGGAGAGGCTTGTTCCTCCCTCCGCTTCTTCAAACTGCTGAGGAGCACATGGCTGCCCTTGCCTCAGCCAACCAGTTTTACAGAGCCTATGCCCTGCCAACGGCTCACACAAGCCAGTGGCGGTGTGGGGGCTCCGTAAAACTGCTCCACTGAGGGGTATACAGTTGCCATTCCCCTCAGTCGAGCAGTTAACAGAGCCTTCAGGGGCCTGCTGCTGGCTTGTGCAAGCTGGTGGCTGGTTGGGGGCTCTGTTAAAGTGCTCCCATCCACCCACCCCCAGCTATAGCAAGCTGTGCAATTAACAACATAAGTGAGTCCCTGGCAGGGGATAGTGCTGCAGACCCCCTGGGCGTGTCCCACGGACCCCCAGGGGTCCCCTAATTGGGAACCATTGTGGTAAATTGTTGAGGATGATTACATTTGTAGACCAAACACTTGGAGGGCACCAAGTTGGAGAAGGCTACTTTAGACCATAAAGCATCTATCAAAATCGTTTTTAAAAGCCTGAATTCTCATGTGTGATCTAATAATACAACTTCCTAGGTCCCATCATCTTACTGTAGTAAGGAATTAGTTCAGTGATTTTGGGTCTTTCCACAACAAGGCTGACAGAAAACAGGCTAGAAATAGGTTGCAACCAAATCAGCAAAACTCAGGAAAAACATGAAAGCAGCAAATCTGTCATGAGCACCAAATGAGACAAAGCACTTTAATGCTCCTGAAGTTATGTCTCTGCAAGTTGCTTTTTGTCAGCTACGTCAGTGATATGATTATAATGATATGCCTTTGTAGGTGCTTCACCCAGGGGAAAATTCATAGAAACTTTCCTGTAGTGTTCCTTGTGATGTATTGGCAGAGATGACTGCAAGGCACTAGCTCAAATGCTCTAACTAATATGCTGCTCCAATTATTTTTAGGTAAATTTACTTGCATGGAGACCTAAGGGTATGCCAGCTGAAAGGGTGCACTGCTCTTTGCACTGAACTACTGCAAATACACAAGGAGAATGAGACAAGACATCAAAACAGTAAGGCATGCAACAATAATCAGACTGCAATCCAAACACACTATAGGTTAATTCAGCAAAACGTAAAAAGGGGTTTCCAGGAAAAATGGATTAATGAATACGTGACATTTATTCATATCACAACCAAGAGAAATGAACACAAACTGTGTGTGTTTTTTAACAGAGAAAACATAAGAAATTTAAGAAAGAAACTTATGTTCAAGGAAGTCCATGGTTCACGACTTCTCCTCAAGAATGCAACACTGAACTTGAAGCAACACCTGGATAACATAATGTTCACTTGAGGATAACTATTACACTTAAAATGTAGGGAACGATCCAGTCAATGTTAAGCACATCTTTCCCACTGGAATCAAATTAAAATGTATAGGTGCTCACGTTTTGCTGGACCATGCATTATTCTCAGAAAAGAAAATTCCAAGCTGAAACTTTTGCTCTTCTATGGGCATGTCTATTGTAAAACATTTCTTAATTTTAAAATTCTATGTTCTAAAGTTGTATACTGCTCTCTTTTACACTAGATGTACTAGTCTGACCTCATTTATCTGCTGTAGGAATACTAAAACGACACAAGAAATATCCATATCAAGAGCTACTAACATAGAAAAGTTTGGGGTTGCAATACATTTCTACATGCAATACATTCTACAATTGCCACAATGATTTCCATGGCAATTAGATACTGGTAAGCACTCAGCTTTTCACTAGTGGGGTACTTTTCACATTACACTTAAATGCTTAATTTAAAGGTGCTAAACTAGCAAAACAAAAACAATTTCATATATAGTATTACAGTACTGTATAGAATTTTGATTTAGAACCTAACTATACAACTTTCATGTCAGTACAAGGACTCAATCTGATTCCAAGTGCTGGTACATCAGACACCACTGGTTTTCCTGTTCAGGTTTTTGTGCAGTGTTTTCTGGAATAAGGAGGGTCTGTCAACGAAAAGCTTTACTTTTTACAGGGAAAACTACAGTTGTGACATGGAATGAGACACCGATCAAACTGTAAAAGTCAATCAATACTGTGGTTTCTTCAAAAGTATTTGCTCTGAACAGAATGCTTCGAGTGTGGTGCTAATTTTATAGAAGCAAGCATTTTTAATGCATGTTCGCGATCTCCAAACAGTTCATCAAAACTAGCAGTTTTCACTACAACGTACAATTATTGTAACTCAAGCCCATCTTGTTCAACAAAGGCTCCGTTTATTATTATTTCACTCCTGATCCTACAACAAATCAGCAGTGCCAGTTTTATAACTCTGAGCCATATAGTATAATTAAAGTCTCATATAAATGAAGAATTCCTGCACTGATGAATTGCCTCCCAGTTTTTTAAGTAAATATACTGGAGCTACAAATACAATGGAAAGCACGCTCAATAGAGAGAAAATAATTAGCAGAAAATTTACCTTTGTTATTTCCAAGGCCATAATCAAATCCTTGTCCATTACTGCACCCTGTCCCTTTATTGAAAGTTTGCAGTGAGAAAGGACTTGGTGGGGGAGTCTGACCATTCTGATCTATAAAAGCTTGTTCTGTAATTGCAAGAAACAAAACAAACACAAGACTGCTTCAGAATGTAATTTATGTCTCTATAGTGGGAATGAAGGTCAAAATATATGTACACAGGAATAAAGGTTTCAATTAATAAATCACTAACTAGGGTAGTAGTAACATGTCTTCTCTAAATTAAGATTAGACTATAGGCCACCTCCCCTGAGTGTCCATGTGCAGAAAGGGGCAGCAGGGTCCCTCATCCAATATCCGTGTGTTGAGTGTGCACATCTGCGAAAGGGAATCCTATGGGCATCTGCTGATAGTGGAGCTGGAACCCTGTGTGATCAGGGTTCCAACTCTACAGACACAGGTTTCCCCTTCTCAGACATCTGTGCCCACTGCTTGGATGCCAAAGCCACCCCCATTGTGTGGGGTCAGGAGCGTAATCCTGTTTGGCCTTGTCTATGAGTGGCTGCCCTCTTCCTCACAATTAATGCATGAAAAGGGCTTCCATGGTCCTAAGCCCAATTTCACTCCAATAAACTGTTAGAAGTCATTCCATGATAACGTACATCGCTTTCGACTACCTTAGTAAAACATTTTGCCTTCTAAATTGTTCACAATGTTTAGGATTTCTTTTCAAGTATTTTAAATACTGTTCTGACTCTTTAACTTGGGAAGATTCACCTGATCAGCTCAAACTAGCACAAGAATATGGCCACATACCTCTGTTAAATGAAGAACTTTGGGTACCAGTGCACTCCTCTGTTCTTTCTGGGGTTTTTATGCTAAATTTTTAGATTATTTACATCTCTGCTTTTTATTGTTTGTGTGCTTTAGTTTCTATCTTTTTGTAAAAATTAAGGAGACTTGCCATCTTCATGCCGGAGATATTGGTTTCCACCTCTGTCTCTAGCTAAGGACCACGCATCACCTTCATCACTTTCACAGAACTCTACCATGCTGTTCTTATCCATCTGCACCCATGTCCCTTCAGAATTAGTCACCTGGTACATACACACACACACACACATAGAGAGAGAGAGGCACATTTAATTTACTTTTCAAATTATCCACCAATGAGATGCAGCAAAATGTTTCCATATGTGAAAAAGAGGCTCTTTTCTGCCATGGAAAGGCAACAGACATTCTTCAAGTTAAGTGCAGAAGAATAAGGAAGAATAAAAAGCATTTGTATTCACAGAAGGTTTAAGATGATTAGTATCTTCAGTGTGTTAAGACTGGATTATATTCAGAAGAAAAGAATAAACAGATCACCAAACAAGCGTCCGGATACACATAGATCCCCGATAGAATGCAAGGGTCGAATTTTTATTTATTTATTTGACACATGAAGCAGAGAAAGCTTGGCATTGACACCAGGTATTTAATATTCACAAAGTTGCTATCATGTCCTGTGTGCTGTTTGAGAAAAAATCATAGCATGACACACTACATCCTCAAGCCCCTTGCAATAGGAGAGCACCAAAGCACGATCAACCACATGCAACAGTTGAATCAATACCAAGAAATAAGATAACTGAGTTCTGTTGTATCCCCAAAAATAATTCATTGGTAAACTCTGAAATATGCATTAAACATAGTCCTTTAATAAACCCACATTTTAAGCAAGCGTACAAGAAAAATCAAGTTCAATCAATGCCCGATGATGAAATATATGACAAAGGCAAAAGTGGTTTGCATCAGTTTACACCATAAACAACCTTTAGGAAGTTAACAGTTAGCAACCAAGGGTGGAAAAGCAAACCTTGCGTAGGATAGCTGCTTTTCTTACGATTGCTACTATTATAAACCAGTATCTATGAAGATAAGAACTGAAGCTACAAGGATCCATACCTCGCCCACTGCCTTGACTTTGTTTCCCAGAACTAACATTCCAATGGGGATACCTCTAAGGTTGGGACAGCTTCTGACGTTGTGACCTGAGGGGCCAGTCTTCACTACCTTATATACTCCAGGCCCACCACGAATGAACGGCATATCTGGTTCCTGCATTACCGCTTCCTGAGGGCAGTGTGAGTTTAGGTCTTTGAAAAAGTCATCTGTGTTAGATCTAGACTCCTGAAAATTTTAGAACAAAAAACCAAAAAAAAAAATCCTGTTAATAATGCCTTTGTACTTTTCAACTAAACCCACCTCTTTGTTAGACCTGAAATAACTAAGGTCTCATCCTAAAACACTTAACAGAGCACGTGTTAAGCTATAATTTTCCATATAAGACAAGAACGGAACTTGCAGTACTCTCTATATTACTACTGAACACGAAGAATAAACGATATGAGTACATATATAAAAATAAAAGGCACACATTTGCAACATGAACATTTGGAGCGATTCTTCAACCATGGTTAAGAAAGATGATACAAACACAGGACTAACACACAAGACTATGGCCAAGTAAAAGTATTCATGCAGGAGAGTGCAAGAAAGAAGGGGGGATAGAGGGTATTTATGCAACTGTTGGAGACATTCAATACCAAGCTATACAGCATCACATATGAGCCTTCTTCTGCAGAATGTAAATTGTTATTACCAGCTAAATATGGAGACCTAAATGAATTAAGGCTGCATTTTCTCTGCATTTTGGCGAAGAAAGACGTTATTCAGAAGTTTGTTAACCAATTCTTCCAGGAGAACAGTAATGGTAGGCAAGCTTGCCAAAGAATAGCTTGCCAGTCACTACCAGCTTTCTGCCGCTGTGCGCAGCTACAGGAAAGTGTGGCATGTGTTCTAGGTAGGTGCCCTCAATTCCTGCAGATCGATGGTGGGATCTAACAGGATTGTTAAGTACCATGCTGAGCATGAGCACTAGAACACGTCAGAGTCTCCAGCAGCGCGAAGCAATTGCTCAGCAGATGCCAATGTGGAAATAGTATCCTTGAAAGCCTGAAAACCACCAATTTGAATGTTCAGATGGCTCATACTCCACAATGCCCACAATACTTGTACACAAGAGACTGAGATCCTAGCAGTTAAGAAAACTCACCTGAGGGGGGAAAGGTTTGGAAGTCCATGAAAACAAGTCCAAATCCCTGACTCCTTGGCTAGCATTAAAGATATTCTATGTAAAGTTTAAGATAGACACATATCAACAGAGAACTGGAGCATTAAGAAAGCAGCAGAAGAAATTAAGAGACGAATAGAACATTTGCTTAATTCCCCCCCCCCCTGCATCCTTGCAAACAACAATCATTTCTTTTCACAAAAAGGTACTCTTAGAATGAAGCCAGCTGAGCCCGCTGTTCACCAGGGGGGAAACAATCTGTTGGAGACAAACAGCTTACACTGACAGTTCTAAATGATGTAGTGTGTCATGCCATTCACTGAATAGAAAGATTCTTTTATATAGAGCTTAACACGTTTTGTGCAAGGCAATTCCCATTCTCCTGTCTGAATGAGAATACAAGTCCTATCAAAAGCCAGATTTGTTTTATGAAAGACAGTCTGCCACTTTGTGAAGATTTGTTTTCTTTTTCTGGGGGGGACATGGGGAGGCGGAACGAGGAAAAAGATTGAGTGTGGACACTCAGCCACCTATTTGCAACTGGAAAGGTTTAAAACGTAGCTATCAGTACTCAGAAAACTTTGGAAAGCACCCAAATGCCAAGTGCCCAAAACATAGTAACAAAATACACCAACATGTGAAAGACAGAGTACTCTAAAAAAATATATTTTAAAAAAGAAAATAAATTAATGTCTTTTCCACATTAAGACGGATAAGGGATGCACACATTAAAATATGTTGAACTTGGTACCTTGTGGTGGGTTTCTGTACCTAGTCTAATATATTTGGAAGAAAGGCTGTTAATTTAGATCAGCCATTTCCCCATTTATTTTTGAAGGCTGACATTAAGCAGATTGGGAAAACGTACCAAACACTTTAACAAGCTTTTAAAAATACATTTAAAAAACCCACACAAAATGAGTAACACATAAAATAAGGAATTTGGAAGTTTTACTCAATCTTCATTTAGTTAAAACTGGGGTCATGTTCAGGTCATACATCATTTCTCTCTAAATACATGTTCTTTTAAGGAAAAGTGGCCAGATTAGTTTGCAAAAAAAACAAAAATTAATTGTCCAGCACATCCATTTTGGATGAGATCCTTGTATGCCATGCATAATATTCCATGCAGGCACTGAGGTCTTACACCCCACCCCACCCCCCAAAAAAATGCTCTTGAAGTTCAGGGGACCCTTCAGAGCAGAACTGAAAAGGTACAAAGAGTTAGTTGAAACTGAAAATAAAAAAAAATGGGAAATCCCTCTCCCCTGCCCACCAGAAGCATTTTCCACTCACAAGTGGGGCTGTTTTGACCTTGTAAATAAATCCAGTACTTATACAAATAAGGTGGCTGATGACCTTTTTGTTCAAATGGGTCAATGAAATATATCAATTTTGTACATATTTAAAAATACAACATTTGTTAGAGTAAGTTGTGGAAATTTTAGATGAGATTTAATCAAAAAAATGGAATAAGAGCTTATAGAGCAGATTTTCCACACCTAAAACAACATCAAAATATTGTCCCAGAGTGCTCTTTGCAACATACACTTTTATTATTATTGTGATATATGAATTATGCAAAAAGCAATGAAAATGAAATTAGCAGGTCAGAAGCAAGTGGTGAATGCAATGAGCATTCAAAATGAATGCACTTATTTGTGTAAGCGTTAGGATAACGCTTATTTGTGTTTTTTCGAACATATAATCTTCTCCGTCACTTCAAAGAATGTGCATGCATCAATCACAATAGAAAGCTTCCAATATGGAACTGTCATTCCTGCTCATTCAGTGTTAGTATTTGCCAGATACCTTTAAGTTGTCAGTATACCTTCTTTACAAACCCAATCTGCAAAGAAGCGCTCCTAGTCTTCAATTTCTCACAAATATTTAATGTTTATCTAAAAGATAAACAACTAACAAAATGTTTGCCTTCAACACAGCATCAATAAACTACAGCACAGTGCTTTTATTTCAGAATTTGCATAGTGCAACCCTGTTTTTACAACAGCTTTCCTCTGAAGAGATCTAGATACAACCATTCCATGTGCCACTAAGGGTTTTTTTTGTACAGAAATCAAGATACCTAGGAATGCTACAGACTGTACAACTCTTAAGTAAATAATAGTTTAAGTACTGCATTTGAAGTCTTGTTTTTCAACATTTCATATTTGCCCTGTTTTTGTAACAATAACATGGGTAAATGGCTTACTTGCAATTTAGTATTTTCTGCCCCACGATTGGGAGTGCTAAGGAAAGATCTCAAATCAATAGAAGTCTTAGATGCTCTCTTTCCCCTTCCCACCTTTTCAAGGATAAAAATCTATATCACATTTAATGGCACATATTATGTCCCTGACCAGTGTTTATTGGAGTGTTATGGGTGCAAGTCGCAGGAGGATTGTGAGAGTTACCACATGCACATCCAAAACTCTTACCAGGTTGATACAGTACTTCTCCCTAGTAACTGAAGTCTTAATAGACCCAATGTCAAGTATTTGTACAATTTTTTTTATTTAAAAAAAACAACTTCAGGAATAAAGTTTAGTTGAGATTTTCAAGTAAGTCATGGAATACAGCCTATCAAGGAAGCTAGTTAAACAAGGAAACTGTTAAGGAAGCTCTCTGGACTGTCATTCTTTTAAGAAGAGAGATAAAGTAAAAGAAAGAAGTCATACTGAAATTCCCAGCTATTAGCATTTTAGATTTGCAAAGTATGGTATAAAAGGAGCACTTAAGCTAGAGTTTTCTTCCTAGCCACTACTCCCCCAAAGCAATGAAGAGAAGATGACCAGCATAGCCATGCTGCCAAAATCGGAAGTTTCACAAAGATATTTGAATAAGTGATCACAAACCAATAATAAAACTGTTGGGTGCTAGGCCTCAGCAGCATAAGAAAAGTGAAGCAAAAGGCACAGGTCTACAACCAGCTACAACTAAAATCCAAGTGAACATTCAGCATGTATACAGACAGCCAAGGCAGCACACACAGGCTACATTTAGCAACTAAGCAGGCATAGCCAGGAATGACTGTGGTCCATAAATAATCAAAAATCAAAGACTTTATACTATAGCCACTATCAGATCAGCAGTAACCAATGGATTAGGGTTAGTGGCTGGAGCAATGCTGGAAACTGAGGACACATCATAACTTAGGGAACATTTAGACCTGCAACCCTTGTTGGTTCATCACACGGGACAGCAGAACACAGATCTGAAGGTTCCCAGTTCTACCCTGTCACAAATGCAGAGGTTTGCCATTCATCTCAAAAATACACACCAATCTGCTTAAACATATCCCAACTGCCAAATGCGCATGAAGGAACTATCATTTAAAAAAAATATATATGTACAAACGTGACTTGGTTAGATCACTACGATGCCTTCAAACCGGTAAAATGTCCCTGACCTTAGAAGAAGATAGCTTATTACTTAAGTTGGAGCAGTTTACTCTTCCACCTTTAAAAGAGGTTGCCTTGAAGCAAGTGGTTGCTATCATCATACAACTTTCCCACTAGAAGCCACTAACTAGCTTACTAATGCAACACACCCTACGGAAGCATCGGGTTGTATCCAATAGTGTTGTCTCTCCTGTGCAATAGACTCCCACAAAAGAACATCCTCATCCGGCTCTCCTCTGCAGCCCGTCCCACTGCACCATCAAAATCAGGTTCAGAAGGTTGGGTAATCCTCTGGAGCAGATTTTGGAAGCATGTGGATAGAGGGTGTTGTGTAAGTAGAACTCCGGTCGCACTTGCATTTGATTCAGCCTGATGTTTCCATGCTACCACTGTCTGTAGCTTTGCATAAATGTTCTTCTTCGTGCAAAGTCCTCTTTCAATGAAGATGACAGGCTTTCCTATGTCTTTTATTTCTTGTCCTGTCAGCTTTGTCCATTCACATATTTGAACCTGTGCCATGCCATTTCCACACCCTTTCCTGAAGTAACAATGAAGATGCACTGAACAAATTCTACCAGTAGGAAAAACTGCCTTTCCCTATTAACCTTACAGATGCAGTATCTTAAACCAGTGGTATCTATAATATGTTACAGTCAGTAATGACAATATGGTAAATACTCTTATTCAATATTTCACAGTTCTCTCACAGAAAGTCCTCAATAACGTGGCCGAATCAAGACATATTTTATCAGTTTCAGTTTAACCAAATCTTTTTCACACATGGAAGAAATGATGCTAATAACTACATCAGTTAATTAATTAATTAATTTACTATGGGCTGGTGTAGATATAACCCAAGCACAGCTTCACACAATTTCCCCCTTTCAAGCGCAATTTGCCACCC